TAGAACTCATCATCTCCTACTGATTTGTCCAATGTCACCTAGCCAGCTTTCATGCCTAAGATGGGACTAGAATTCACAGACTCCTGTTTCTAGCCTGTGCCTTAACCACTAGACCAAACTGTCTCTCATTAGACATGTTCATTAGATACAGCCATTTGCCTTTCTTTCAACACTGATTATTTGCAACAGAGCCCATAATGCCCATAACCTTTCTACCACCACAGTCCTTTAAGTATTAGTGGTGATATATGAGGATTATGCCTTTAAGAACAGTATTATTATGCGGCAGGATTGTTATGGATCAAAGATTGGATAAACTTGGATAATGAAAGGATATTAATGATTGAAGGACATGATCTACAGGTGAGTTGGCATGCATTTTTATGGGCGAACCAGAAGAAAACATCAACATATTTCCAGCAGCATCAGATAAGAGGAGCATTGATCGGGATATGGGAAAAAATAAAAAAAAGACACTATGGGAAAATTCCAAATTGGTTCTCGCCGATGGAGGCAGTGATTCATCCCAATACATTAGAGAGAAAAAAGATGTTTAGGTATAAAGANAATTTATAAATACCTATTAGAGATAGAGTTAGAAGAAGAAATAGTGAAGGGGCCAATGATAGCGTGGGCACGAAATGTGGGGCGAAATATAAATTTAGAGGAATGGGAAAGATTATGGAACAGAAATTGCAAATTGACGCTATCAACTGCATATAGAGAGAATCAATATAAAATGATTTACAGATGGCATTTAACACCGTCGAGATTGGCCAAAATGTATAAAAACATAGACCCGAAGTGTTGAAAATGTAAAATTAAAGAAGGAACATTTTATCACATGTGGTGGCTGTGCCCCAAAGTAAAAAATTATTGGGAACGGATAAGAGATTGGATACAGGAGATAACTGTGATACAAAGGGATTTCAAACCAGAAATATTTCTTTTGGGCATAATAAATTTAAAGATGGAAAAACAACTCCAACACATCATTTATACACATATTGACTGCAGCTCGTATAGCATATGCGCAATGTTGGAAGAGTGAAAATATTCCCACAAATGATATGATTATGTATAAAATTTTGGAATGCGCAGAAATGAACAAACTTACGTTAGAATTAAAAGACAAGGAGACGTCAGAATTTTATGAAATTTGGAATAAATGTTATAATTGGCTAGAACAGAAAAAGAAAAAGACATAATTATTGATGTACATAAAATGTAAATAAGATGTAAAGAATATTTAAAATGTAAAGCGCTGTTCTGTTAGAAGAAAAGATTTATGTTTATGTAGTTTTTGGTGTATGGTGTATGGTGAAAAATAAAAAATAATAATAATAATAAAAAAAGAACAGTTGTTAGTCAGCCGATACCTGGTCCCTCACCTGACCTTAATATGCCTAATTTCTGTTACGTTAACAATATATCTTTCCGTAGGTGCTCAGTGTTGTTTTAGGTACCTTTGTTGCTATGTGCATGCATAGCTGACTTCTGTGAATAAAAGATTTATTTACCATCCGGAATTACTTGATTGTGAATTCATCAGGCTAGATAATGGGATAGATATGTGTTCTAGTCCCACCTTAGGTATAAACCAGCTGATTAAGATTGGACTAGTCATCTTCTCTCATTGCTAGGAAGCAGGCAAGGGCCACTTCTGAAAAACCTTGTAAAAATATATATATGAAGAGGCTTGTCCAGGAAGTTTCTGAGAATTGGGCACAGTTGAACAGAAAAAAAAAAAAAGAATATGGGCCCTCCATACTAAGTCTATATATTTTAGTTGTGATCTTACACTGTAATTATTGTACAAATTTTGGATGTTTTACAAGTGATGTATCAATTTTATTGAGGTATTTTTACTTTGTGTTGAACATAGTTATTTATATAGGTACATGCAAAATAAAAACACCATCTTGTTGTCCCCAATTCGGGTCTGAGCCTGGTGCTGAGGCCAATGAAGTACACCAGACATGAGATGCAGGTTTTGTTTTCTTTTATTGAAACTCTCCAAGAAAAGGGATCCTGGCCAAAATTTCAAGGAAATTAACCACAGAATTAAGAAAGCTTTATACATTTTCACTAAGGAGAAGACGGGATATATAAGAAATATAATCTAATAAACATTTCAATAATGATCTAACAATTATTCTATTGGTCTCTAGCCATCCCTATTCCTATGCCTTGGCTAATGAATGCTCCAGGAGGTATCTAATATACTTCCTATTTGCTCCAGGCCATCTCTATTCCTAACTGTTAGCTGAGCTTGCAAGATGCCTAAGTCTTTGTTACTTTTATCAGCTTTCTAACCATCCAGAATTGTTACAAGCTTTACATGTGCCTATTTTGTGTGAATAAGCATTCTTTATTCTTGCCAGACAAACTCCTCAATTACAGACTTCCTGATCTCCTTTCAAGTGTATGCAGTGGTGGTATTCTGGGCCTGAGCATAAAAAAATAGCTACTGTTCTGCCGAAGTGGTGCGAACCGGCTGAATCCCGCCACTGAGTGTATGCCATAATTTTGCTTTGTTTTGGCATTCAGCCCATCAATCTTATGATATAAATCTGTTAATACATTAAATACAGAAGAAGAATCTATCATAGTGTCTTTTTTTATTCATGGAAGCCTGTTAACCAGGTATAAAAGAAATATATAGAATTATATTTCTCCTAAAGTGTGGAATATATTTTCCTTTGGAATAGTGAATAGCCTAGTGTGTCTAAAAAAACTACAAAGTCTTTTAAATTGCTTTCAGCAGATTAGTTTTGACTTTAATACTTTTATATAGGTAGTCCTCATTTAGCTACAACTGTGATGAAAAGTAACTTTGCAATCTGGCCTCATATATATAATCTTCGTAGGTCTGTAAAACAAGGGAAAGCTGAAGTAAAATTTCGCCTAGTGACTGTTCTGCTTAATGACCAAGTTGCCAGTCCCAATTCTGGTGTCTAAAAAGCACTACTTGTATTATGTATATAAGCAAGTTTACTGCATACCACTTTGTTTCTGTTGAAAGTGTAATAATATGAATAGGTATGATGTAGACTAGAGACTGTACATTGTATATTTACAATTAATTATATGTCAATTTCGGAGTGAAAGCCCATAGTGGCCTATAAATGGCTCTTTTTAGTATCTAAGCTGAAAAGCAGCCAATCAAGGCTTGCGTTCCATAAGAAAAAAATCGAGGTGAACGTGCCACGTTTTGCCCATATCCAAAATGGATGACACTACGTGACGCATACCGAACTTTCCCTAACTTTAAATGTATTAGGTTTGGGAATTGTCTGTGAAAGATAAAATTGCCCTGATCCAAAATGGCCGCCACCGCATCCCTCTTCTCGAGACAGTCTGCGTTTATTTCCTTTATTAAAGATGGCAGTCCTGGAGGAAGCTGGGAATTTCTCTCTCCCTTGATTTTGCCCAAAGCTCAAATTGTCCCTCTCCCCTCAGCAAAACCTATCATCGCTGAAAGAAGCAACCTCTTTCGTTAGCACTTTTAAGGACTCAACATTCTTTTTAACTTGAGCCCCTTCGTTGGCGTCTATCCCTTAACTAAGATGGCCGGTTTGCTACTTTATACCCTCGCTGTCGTCAAAGATGGCAAAACCGCTCACCAATGTCCGAGGAGAGTGCCGTTGAGGGGCGGGACTGCCACGGTTTGCTGACCTCTGATAGGGAGGGAGAAAGCTTTCCCCACCCCATTGCTCATCCTTCCCCAGGTAGAAAAGAACACTTCCCGATGTAGCATGCGAGGCAGTGTGCAGCTCAGAGCAGAGGCGAGAACTATGCTCGGAAAGCGAGAAGAAGAGCCGGGGTTGAGCAAAGAGGGGGATGGCGTGGAAAGAAGTGTGGGAGAGGTGCTGAAGATTGGAGGTTGTTAGGGGTGGGCAGACCTTGAGAAGTGCCCGGGAGCTTCTCCTTCTTTCCCCCTCTCCTCTCCACAGATTCCTTCCTAAGGTCATCTGGCTTTTTGGACAAAGAGTGCCCGGTGAGAGGGGAATAGGGTCCTTTCTGGGGGGTTATCTCAAACGTCCTCTCCCTCCCAGTATAAATGTATATTTGTGTGTGTGTGTAATAATGATCAGCTCTGTTGCCCTCCTCCACTTTTTTTTTGTAAAGAGCTTTTCCCTGTTCCCCCCTTTTATGATGACACGCTCTTGCAAATATTTGTGAGAAACTATTTTTTTTCTAAACCTCGGGAGTGAAAACAGTTGAGTTAGGTTGACCAATGGGGCGCTTAATAAAAGTATTTCATTTCTGTTTGCCGCTAGTTGAAGGATAGAATGTTGTGTCTGCAGTCTCTTTCCAAACTCAACTTTCTTTTTTTTTGGTATTTTTCTTTTTCATTCCTGAGTGTCCCCTAAACAGATCAGTATTTTTTATTGTTTAATGTTTAACTGAAGTTCTTTTCTTCTCCCTTCTCTGAGGTTTTGGGAAGCAGATTTGTAAAAGAGAAGGGAAAGAGTTTGCTAAAAATAGTATGTTTTTGTGGCCAGGTGTTCTGATTAGATTTTTTTACAGGTTGGACAGCTTCCTAGTTAAACATTTAAACTCCTTATCTAAAGGTGAAATCATGCTGAAAACCAGATTTTCTACATATGTTTCTGAAGAAGCACTTGTTTTGATAAGAAAAGCCTCAATTCAAACTTATTAACTCTAGTGTTAGGATCAGACAGGTCTGTGTTCATTCCTCTAGAATTTGGATGACATTTTTCAGAAAAGTTGGGGAGGTATGTACATGCCAGTATTTTTTCCTCTTGTTTCATTTCCTTGACACAAAGGTTCTTGCTCAATAAAAGAGCAATTAACTCTGGAAAATGCTTAAGAAGCTCTAGTGAGGAAGCAAGTTTCTTGGTAAAAGTAAGTTGCATCGGCCACTCAGCCGACCTAAGAAAAACCTGTGAGAATGGAAAGGTTTTAAATCCTGCTTTTGAAATCTTGGGTGATGGGTGGAGTGGTGAAAAAGGAGGTTAAGTAGTGATGGGTTGGAACTAGTTGTTTGACAGATATTAAAGCACAATTGCAAAGCTGGGGTTCCATGACAAGATGAATCTGGTACTGAAGCCTTGTCAAGAAGGTTCTGAGGCCATCCTCCATGGGGAGTTTGGGTCCTACCCCCCTAAGGGGATCCGCTATGCCCTCAGCCTCACCCGGACTGAACTGCATATCCAACGCCTAGTACCCAAGCCGGACACTGATCAACGGACCGTGATACGGCTGATAGATGTGGTTGGTTGCCACACACTACGCAGTCATACAGTAGCAAACCAGTCAGCATTCTTCTGCATCTTTGCCTATCCACTGAAGAAAAAAAAGGTGGCCGTGGGCTCAGGACGGGCCCGGCAGCGGATTGCAAAGACCTTTCAAGTGGATGGAGCAGAGCACTACAAGGAAAACCAGGCTCTTGCCGAAAAATGGGCAGCTGCCATCAAGTGCCTAGTGTTGGGGATTCCAATTTCCAGTGAAACAGGTAAGGGGTGTCCTGTATTGGGGAGTATTGCTTCTCACCTGGAGAGATGGTAAATGTTATCTGTTTCTGCGCGATGGCATTCCTTAAACTGTATTGTTGTGGACTACAAGTCAAATGGGTGCTTGTGTGTTTATCAGTCTGTTTTTTAAAAAATCGAAATCAGCTCATTAGGAGAGAATTTATAACAAGTCCTTAGCCTGATAGGATGATTTTCTGGATGGTAAAGAATAAAAGTGTCGGGGTGGTGGTGGTTAAATAATAGGAGAACCCCCAGAATGGCTCAGCAGTGAGATGGATGGCATATAAGTTTAATAAATACAGCATTGTGCAGACCTGCCACATAATTTTATGAGATATCTGAAAAACCGAACATCAGCTTAGATTAGAGTACGGTATATCTGCTGGCAGATGTGTCAATCTTTAGTTAAAAAAGTCAGAATTAATTAATACAAACTCATGACCTACAGAATATAAATCTATCTCTGTTATCTTCTTTCTAAATTTTGCATCATGTGTACTGCAAGATTAATAATTATCATTTTTATAATCTTATTGTAAACTTACTTTCATGTTGCTGGGATTACAGAGTAGATTAATCTCCCAATCTACAAATCCATGATGTTGGAATGCCCTGGAAAGATGCAAACTTGCCTTCCAGGGTGTTGCTAGCTTTTGAAGTATTTGGTAATTGAGATGGAAGCAAGTTGTGGCTTTCCTAATAAGTACAGCACATTTTAATAAAATTATTGCTGTGTTGACTTGCCTTTGTATAATGGAAGGCAACTCCCATCAGAATTCAAAGATACTGAAGCTAAGGCCCCCTCAGATTACATTGTATTAGATCTTTCTTCTCCCTGAGCAGTTTTGAGTGCTGGAAATGTCATGTTTCGCTGAAATTGTTTTGTTTTTTTTAAAACCTCCTTCCATTCTTACTCTTGTCTGCTAGAACAGAGGCCCCCAACCTTTTGGGCACCAAGGATCCGTGCCATGGAGAAAGGTTTTTCTGCGGACCAGAGGGGATGTGGTTTTGCATACTGCCTGCATCCCGTGGGTGGGGCTTCGTTTGTTTGTGCGGCCCAGTTGCTGGCATGCTGCGGATTGGTGTCGGTCCACGGACCAGGGTTGGGGACCCTTATGCTAGAAGAGAATATATACCTGTCTGTTTTTCCTTTTATAAACAGTCTAAAGGTATATTTTGCCAACTGAATGAACTTTCTGTTTAAAATGTGAGCACAAATGTCCTGGGAAGTATGGAGTCAAATGCTGCAATGGCTATATGTCCCACACTGAAATGTGTTTAACTTGCAATTCGTGTACATGGAAACCTGAAGGAGAAAATCCATTTATGTTGAACAACTTGCTTACAAGCTGTAGCTCTGAAGTCAAGTGTGTTGAATTCAGTTTTGTAATTTCCAATCAGCACAACAATTCTAAAGAATACAGAATATGTTGTGTTAGATTAAAGAATATTAGACTGATAGTGATTCTTCACTGAGTATTCTTATTTATCAGCACAATTTACAACAGCTTATTCAATGTATAACAGAGGAGCAGGGAAAGTCAAATAGAATAGAGGTAGTCCTTTATTTACGACCGGTCAGTCAGGAAACATTTGAAGTTAAAGATGGTCTCCTAAAAGATACTTACAATCCAGTCCCCGTGACCACATTTTGGGCACTTGGCAACCAGCCTGCATTTTTGGCCAATTGTGGCATTCCACAATCATGTGACTGCAGTTCACTACATTTTTGCTGAAATCCAACATTTACTTCTGGTTTCCAGCAAAAACACCCCATAGCAAACAATGGGTTTGCTTAACAACCATGGCAATTGCTTTATGACCATTGCAAAAAAGCTTGTAAAATTGGGTTGGTCATGTGATAACTCAGTTGACAACCATGATTATTGTATTTGGCAGACTCAGTTGTGGTAGTAAATCAAGGACTACCTGTAAACAGCACATAAAATTAAAAGCTATGAAGGCCTCAGAATTGGTTACAGAATCAAAGTATGATGTGAGTCAATACTAATAGCGGAATGATTACTTGAGTTAGAGCTGTGCCTCTGAAATTAATAATAATAAAGTTGGAAGGGACCTTGGAGGTCATCTAATCCAACCCCCTGCTCAGGCAGGAAACCCTATACCAGTAACTGGCCCCGCCCAGCTCGACCCCCCACTCCGCCCCCACCCTGTCCCCTGCCCTGCCTGTCCGCAGGGCCACTCACCGCCTCCAGGGCCCACTGTAGATCATCCAGGCAGCCCAGCAGCGCCATGGCAGCCTCTTCCTCTGCCTGCGCCCCGCAGCATCAACTCTGCGCAATGGGGCATGAGGGCCGAGTCTTGTCCACGCTGCCTGGCTGCCATGTCCTTGGCTGTGCTGCTCCGCATGGGCCACACTCGGGGGCGACTCTCCTCCAGGGGGGCTGCTGGTGAGTGGGTCGCAGGGGGAGGCGAGGCTGGGGCAATGCACGTATGCCCACAGAGAAGGCTCTGAGTGCTGCCTCTGGCACGAGTGCCATAGGTTCGCCACCACTGCCCTATACCATTTCAGACAAATGGCTATCCAGTCTCTTCTTAAAAACTTCCAGTGTAGGAGCATTCACCACTTCTGGAGGCAGGTTGTTCCACTGGTTAATTGTTCTAACTGTCAGGAAGTTTCTCCTTAGTTCTAGGTTGCTTCTCTCCTTGATTAGTTTCCATTCGTTGCTTCTTGTCCTGCCTTCAGGTGCTTTGGAGAATAGCTTGACTCCCTTTTCTTTGTGGCAGCCCCTGAGATATTGGAACGCTGCTGTCATGTCCCCCCTCGTCCTTCTCTTCATTAAACTAGACATACCCAATTCCAGCAACTGTTCCTTATATGTTTTAGCCTCCAGTCCCCTAATCTTCTTTGTTGCTCTTCTTTGTACTCTTTCTAGAGTCTCAACATCTTTTTTACATCGTGGTGAACAAAACTGGATGCAGTATTTCAAGTGTGGCTTTACCAAGGCATTGTAAAGTGGTATTAATACTTCACATGATCTTGATTCTTTCCCTCTGTTAATGCAGCCTAGCACTGTGTTGGCTTTTTTGGCAGCTGCAGCACACTGCTGGCTCATATTTAAGTGATTGTCCACTAGGACTCCGAGGTCCCTCTCACAGTTACTACTGTTGAGCAAGGTACCCCCTATACTCTACATGTACATTTGGTTTTTCTTGCCTAAATGGTTTTTCTTGCCTTTTTTCATCATTGAATTTCATTTTTTAGATAGCGCCCAGTGTTCAAGTCTGTCCAGATCCTCCTGTATCTTAAGCTTGTCTTCTGGAGTGTTGGCTATTCCTGCCAGCTTGGTGTCGTCTGCAAATTTGATGAGTTCCCTATCTATCCTCTCGTCCAAATCGTTGATGAAGATGTTGAAGAGCACTGGGCCTAGAACAGAGCCCTGGGGCACCCCACTACACACTTCCCTCCATGTAGATGCTGTTCCATTGAGGACAACATGCTGAGTACGACCGGTCAGCCAGTTACGAATCCATGTGGTGGTGATGCTGTCTAACCCACATTTTTCTATCTTATCAAGTAGTAGGTTGTGATCTACTTTATCAAATGCCTTACTGAAGTCCAAGTAAATTATTCACAGCATTCCTTTGATTCACTAATTTTGTCACTTGGTCAAAGAATGCAATAAGATTTGTCTGGCATGATCTGTTTTTGACAAACCCATGTTGGCTTTTAGTAATGACTTTGTTTGCCTCTAGATGTTCGCTGATTCGTTGTTTGATTATCTTTTCCAGAACCTTCCCAGGTATTGAGGTTAGGCTGATAGGTCTGTAATTTCTTGGATCCATTTTTTTTCCTTTTTTGAAGATGGGAACGACATCAGCTCTTTTTCAGTTCTCTGGTAGTTCCCCAGTGCTCCAGGATCTTTGAAAAATATAGTTCAGTGGTTCTGAGATCACATCTGCCAGTTCCTTGAGAACCTTGGGGTGTAATCCATCTGGTCCTGGTGATTTGAACTCATCTAGGCTAAACAGGTGCTCACTTACCATTTTCTTGCCTATCTTAACTTGTGTTTCTATTCTGTTTTTTTATGGCACTATTTTTGATAGGTTGGGCTGTTTTTTTCCTTTGTGTAAAGATAGATGCAAACAAATGAGTTAAATAGTTCTGCTTTCTCCCTGTTGCTTGTCACCTTTTTGCCACTTTCCCCCACTAATGGACCAATCATTTCCTTCACTTTTTTCTAGTTCTCTACATGTTGAAAGAAGCTTTTTTTGTTATTTTTTTACTGTTGTCGCAAGACTTAGTTCATTTTGAGCCTTAGCTTTCCTCACTTCATCTTTGCAGGCTCGGGCTATTTTCTGATATTCTGCCTTAGTTATGTGCCCCTCTTTCCACTTTTTATATTTGTCCTTTTTATCTTTCAATTAATCAGAGAGTTCTTTATGCAGCCATGCTGGTTCCTTTTGAGAGCTGTTATTTTTCTTCTTTGTTGGTATTGTGCTAGACTGGGCTTTTATTATCTCACTTTTCAAAATTTCCCAAGCTTCTTGAGTTGTTTTCCCCTTGAGGATTCTCATCCATGGAATCCTTCCCAAGCCCTCTCTGAGTTTATTGAAATTAGCTCTCTTAAAGACTCTAGTTCAGTGCTGGCGAACCTTTTAGAGACTGAGTGCCCAAACTGCAACCCAAAACCCACTTATGTATCATCAGGTGCCAGGTGGGCGTGGCCCATTGGGTAGGCATGGCCCATTGGGTGGGCGTGGCCCATTGGGTGGGCATGGCTTCGGTGGTAAAGGCAGATTGGTTGGGACTAAAAAATTCAATCAATTCCAACTTTGCAAGATCTTTTTTTTCCCACGAGAAGTTGAAATTGATTAATTGATTGAACCTTTTTTTTTTTTGCACACGGCGGCAGAGGCCTAAACCGAAATGGTTTTATAAAACCCAGCTGAATGCCTAGGACTGGGGCGACGGCGCGCATGCCCACAGAGAGGGCTCTGCGTGCCACCTGTGGCACGC